CAAGATTTTAAACGAATGTTTAAAAACGACATTAATTATTACTAGACCCGATAATAGAAATCTGATCAGCATTAGGGTCAGAGTTGGGCTCACAAGTGGGCCTTGTATTTGACTTGAGTTTTGGTTTCTTTATAACACAAGAGATTGTGTGTAACAAGACCTAAGTCCCTACTTTACTCTGAGGTCCCATCTCCCCAGTAGAATAAAGTATTTTCAAAGAGGGCTATTGTGCAACCAGCACCTGGCTTAATGTGCCTGAAATAATCACTCAAGTATTTCTTGAAATTAATAAATGATTGGTTCCATGACATGACTGCAGCTAGTCATAAAGGTGGCCCAGCCCTATTGAGGGTATTATGTAATTTATTTTTGAAAAGAGGAAAATTTTGAATTCTAAAACCCCCAAGGGTTTCTGATAAAGGATTATGATATACTTAAAACAGCATAAACCAAGAAAAAAGCAACTGGGCTATGTACTACTGCCATCTGCTGATACCAACTTAGAACTACAAAAATGCATATAACAGGAAGGTTTAACCTTACTTATGAGGGCTAAGAGCATCACACCACACCCATGACTTAAATATATAAAAAATATGGCCAATGCGGCACATTGGTTGAGCAACAACCTATGAACCAACCCGTCACAGTTCAATTCCCGGTAAGGCACATGCCTGCATTGTAGGTAGGCTCGATCCCCAGTGTGAGGCATGCAGGAGGCAGCCAATCAATGATTTTCTCTCAACATTGATGTTGCTCTCTCCCTCTCCCTCTCTAAAACCAATTTTTTAAAAAATGACCTGGGCAGGTGGCTGAGTTGGTTAGAGGATCGTCCCAAACGGTTCAATTCCGTTAGGGCATATACCTAGGTTGTGGATTTTGATGGGGAACGTACATGAGGCAATTAATTGATGTTTCTCTCTCTCATCAATGTATGTTTCTCTCCCCAGCCCTTCCTCTCTCTCTAAAATCAATAAAAACATATTCAGGTGAGAATTAAAAAATATGGATATATTGAATTTTTATGTTCCATCCACACAACACAACTCAGAAGTTGAATTACACACCTTGATTTGATGTAACATCAAATTCCTTTTGGAATTATCTCTAATCCCAGAGATGGGCACTTATGCCATCAAAACAGAACCTTTAATATAATCAGAAATTGCTCCATTGACCATTTCTAACAGAGCTGAAAGCAGTGATGTTAAGGTTATAGGAATCTGTTTTATATAAATACAGATGGCAGTAAATCTATGAATCCTACTCTAGACCACAATAGCCCTTTAGGGTATTCTGCATGTTCATAATCTTCCCGTTGTGAACTACCATGAATATATTCTCTAAATGTTCACACAACAGTGTATCTTGTTTACCACCCATAGGTATAAGCTTTGAAACATTATGTCTTCTTTATCTTTTATTTTCCCTTTCTCCTTTTTTTTTTAAAATATATTTTATTGATTTTACACAGAGAGGAATTGAGAGGGACAGAGCGTTAGAAACGTTGATGAGAGAGAAACATCAACCAGCTGCCTCTTGCACACCCCTCACTGGGGATGTGCCTGCAACCAAGGTACATGCCCTTGACCGGAATCGAACCCGGAACCCTTCAGTCCGCAGACCGACGCTCTATCCACTGAGCCAAACCGGTCCCGGCTTCCCTTCCTCCTTAACTACCACTGTTGGCAGTAGAGAAAATGTTAACAAAGATTTATTGTTTAAGTTTTGTGTTAATTAATTTTCATGACTTTACTTCTGAGTAGTTATCTAAATAGCACTTATAAAGTGTTAAGGCTATTTTAGGAAAAATCTCCAATGTACTTCTAAATAAAAGGATTCAAACATAAACCTGTAAAATTTGTCTACTAATTCTCTAAGTACAATACCAACCATACTTAATTTGAATCTCCAGATTCAGAAATCAAGGCAATGCCTTCATTTCACAGATAAAGAAATTGAAGCCCAGACAGAATAAAGCACCTAATGTTTCAAAAAGAGCGAACTGTTCTTTTCACTGTGCTATAACAGAAAATATGCTGTTAGGGTTTACACCTGTCCTCAGTGACACAGTGACCTCCCACCCCGTGGTAGGCTCACACGGTTTGTGGCCCTCTCTTTGGTTCTATTCTTGATTAAATCTTAGCTTCTCTTTGGTTCTTTTTTTTTCTTTTTTTTTTCCCTTTCTCAAAAGGCCTTAATTTGTGAATTTATTTAACCTGTCCAGATTTCAGGAACAACTTTCTCTTACCCAGTTCATTATAAGGCAGAGGACCACAGCGGCTTATTTGAAGTGTCCCTCTAATATCTAGCTTCTAAGTAAAGAAAAAAGCACATTGAAGCATCACTCTAGGTGTTTCTACTCTCAGACTCAAACTAATGCAGTTAAGCTGTTTTAAACACCAACTTCTAAATTTATAACGTTTTGTTAGTAGTAGTATTTTCAAGTATGATATACCCCAAAACAACAAAAAAGTACTTAATACTGGAAAACATATTAAAAAGTCTATTCCTAAGAAAACAGCAGAATGGAATAACTGAAATTCAAAGAACTACTCTAAAAATAACTAAGGGGGTAAACCCCAAAATACTGTAATTTAAAGAAATTTATTCTTTAAAAATATTTTCATGTACACTTCTATGACTTTTGTTTGAAGGGAACAAAGAGATTATCCTACAGTGAAAGTTAACTTAGAACATACGTGGCATTATGTATAACAATACATTTTGGAAATAACTGGCAAAATAAAAGTGTAAATTTTTATAGTGATTTAAGACTTCAAGTTATTTAAGATCTCAGATGAAACAAACCCACATTAGAATAGCACAAATAAAAAATTTGTAATTTTATGACTTCTCCAATACTGTCATACTTAATACTATGCATAAACAAGTTACCCCATTCCCAAATTACAATTGGCCAGGACAAAGGTAAATTCCATGAGAAAAAGTGACAAAAGTTTGAATGCACAGCACAATATGCATCCTCTTGCTATATAAATATGTTTAACACACTGGTAACAACTCCATGTAATAAAAGAAAAACCATGAACTATTTAAACAAAACGTATTCTCCCCCCAACCCCAAAAATACTTCTTGTCTAGAAAAATCCTTTAATATATTACCTAATACAGTTAAAAGCCTAAAAAATGTGTTAATGAAGATTTAATTTCCATGCAAAATTCACTTCTCTCAATATGTATAAAAACTTTTTCATCAGTTCAATTTAAATGGCAAAATCTTCAGAACAGAAAAATACAGCATCTCTAATAGACATCTAAAGGCAATAAAGTTATATTTATAGGATGCTATAATCAGTAATTACTAAGAAGCAGAAAGAAACTGCTATCCTTTTTCTCAGCAGTCAGCTACGACCACACAAAACAGGGAGATCCAGAAACCAATGAATACATTCTAGGTAAAATAAAGCTTCACAGAATAAACAATTCTCATTAAATAGTTTGTTTTTTTCTTTTCACCTGAGAGTCAAGTTTTCAATCATTGGATTGCAATAAAAACAAGCCAGGAGCTCTAAATCCTCAATCATATCAAGATCAAGGTTATATAGACATTTCTGGTTTAGAAAAGCTAAAATATATAAAAAAGGAAATGTTAATAGCAAGACAGGGTGCTTAATAGTAGGACCATGGCAGAAATTTGTGGTATTTGGTAAAATACACATTGACATTTGGGAGAAAGTTTATTGCTCTGAGGGACTACAGCACCACTTTCAAGAAGAAAAGACGATTAGGATTAACCACCTTTCTATCAGCAAGATGTGTTTCTAGGAAAATTCTTAAAGAAGTAGAGATGAAGAAACTTTTATATTACATATTTTTTAAATGTTACCTATTTTCCTTCATCCAATAGACAATGAGCAATATATTTTAGTAAGTATTATCAGATTGTTACTATCTCACCATCAAGTTAACAATATAAAATTAAATAATGGACAGAAAACATTACGCAAACCTATAAAACAAGAATATTATGAAGTAATTTTTATGCCAAAACATTTTTGATAAGTACTACTTAAATATACAGTAGTTACACTTATAAAATTTTCCAAATCATGACTACAAAAATTGCTTCTGAATGCTAACATTTATCCTAAAGAAAAGAGCAGTATATAAGGGATGTGAGACGTAACCTAACCACTGTGGAATAGAGCCCAATGCCACATACCTGCCCCAACAATTTTAGAAAACTAATGTCACTGAGGTGATTATGGAATGAAAAACAAGAAAACATGACTATATGCATATGAATTTAGCCTAAGGATTTCTTTCTGACAACCTGCAGCTAGCACTTTGCTTAGTCTCTAAAAGGTAGGATTTTAAGTAAACATTGTTCTGAAAGAAAAGTTATTCTGAATGGATAAGTTGCTATGCAGAGCACAAAATTTTTAAATGCAATCTTCTATAAGAAGTAGTTAAAATTTAAGAGCCACAGTCTAACAATGAATGTGATTTCTTTTGAGATAAAGCTCATCTGTCAGTTTCTTCCTCTGTTTATCAATCATCTCAAACATTAGAATCATTACACTGGTAATCCTTATGGTGACATGTGATACTATCTTTTGAAACTAGTCTGACTTTCTATAACAACTATTTTAGGAGTGGCATTTCTAAAAATAATTTTATCCAATGTATGCATCAGTCATATTTGAGGACAGACACAAGAATTCTAATATGGTAAAGTTTTAGAGCACTATACAGGTATTAAGACATGATCTGTACCCATAGGGGAAAAACAGAAAAATCAAACTTCTATAAATGAAGAAGATTTTGGATACATATAGTTGGCATAAAAAAGAAAACAAAATTTTACACTTTCATCAGACATTTTTACAAGGAAAATGCTTCAATTATCATGTCTTCAATGTCATTATTCATATATATACATATATATATGTATATGTATATATATACATATACATATACATATATATACATACATACACACACATATATACTGAAGTGATGCAGAAAGCCACAAATGAGAAAAGGACACTAAGGTTTTAATAAAGGGAACAAAAGTTACTTTTACCAGTATAGATTCACATTACAGTACACCAATATTGACAGCATTCTCTTGTCTATTTTTGGTACAGAAGATGGTCTCTCTCTACATAACTTTGTAAGGCTTCGGTAACTAAAACATAAAATAAAACAAACAAAACTCCCTCCCCCCCAAAAAAAACACCAAAAACCAAAAATAAAACAAAAAAATCCAGCCTATTAGTTTACAGTTTATTTTAAAAATTCTGAAAGACACTGCAAATTCTAAACTTTTAGTAGTGCTACCCATACACAACCATGTGGTCAAGAACCCAGTAAAAGAGCCAGCCCCCTTCAAGGAAGCGTTTCAACAGTAGAACTGTGCAATATGGATGTTTCTTACTACAAGGAAAAAAATTATACATGGCACATTCTCATTCATATTTTGTAATGTAAAATGTTATAAACATACCTAATCAAATAAATAATAAAAAAATTTGAATGTATTTATTAAGTATACTAAAACAACTACATAGAATAATGGCAACTTTCACTCACAGATTATTTACATGGTAATACCCAGTGTGGGTACACTGCTACAAAACTCAAAACAGAAGAAGTAAACTTGAAATGTTTTCCATAGTAAAGATCTAGCAGCATGACTATCTAATGCTGTTTTATCCCAAATGCTTCTGAAATGTTCCTTTTTTAGTCTGTGTCTTCATCCAGTTCATAATAGTCTTTATCATAAATATCTTTTACTAAAAGAACCCGTACAAGCATATTTTCCAAGGTGTTTCGGTCCAGTGAAGTCGATGTGTACCAGACAGGGCTATCTGTAGAACTAGAGCATTCTGGTTGCAAATAAAAAACATCCATTCTCTGATTAAGATTCTGTGGACTTTGGGAAAAAGGAGAAAGTCAATTTTACAGTGTATGTACAAAATTCCCCACAACTTTCTGTCCTTCTTTCAGGAATATTTCTATGACCACTAACCACATTATGCGGGCTGAACATATGCACCTCATTACCTACATTAAATACTCTATCCTTCAGATATTTTTTAAGTTAATTTCTGTGACAAAAGATTATTTTCCATCATAATTTAAATCATGTTCTTCACTGAATCCAAGACACCATTAATTGAAATATTATTTTAATATTTCCACCAAACAAGTAAAACACTGCCAGTTATAATTTTTTCCCAATTATAATTTTTAAATGCATCAATTGTAACATGCAGCCCAGTTTCAGAGTTAGTAAAACATCAAAAATGTTTCTTAGAATTGATGAAATATGGTAGCACGAAAAATAAAAATACCAGCATTATACAATAGAGGTTAATTTTTAAAATAGCAACAAGGTAACATTTAAATAGGAATTTCTGATTAACAAATAGTTACTACCACTGCAAGATCATGATTCTGTTGCAGCCAAAGAGAGCAACCCCCAAACCATCACGAGAAATATTACCATCATGCTATGGGTAACATTACTATTTCTATGGGTTCTTGAGAGCTAACTTGGGGACCTAACAATTTATAATAATAAAAACGTAATATGCTATTTAGACCTGACAGCCAAACGACCTTCCAAAGGTCATTCCAGACGTCCTTCCAGACAAAGCCATGGCAGTGGGGGCTGAGGTAGAGACAGGGGCAATCAGGCAGGCAGGTAGAGACAGTTAGGGGTGATCAGGCAGGCAGGCAAATGCTTAGGGGCGATCAGGCAGGCAAATGCTTAGGGGCGATCAGGCAGGCAGGCAGGCAGGCAGGCAGGCAGGCAGGCAGGCAGGCAGGCGAGAGGTTAGGGGCAATCAGGCAGAAAGGTGAGTGGTTAGAGGCCAACAGGCAGGCAGGCAGACATCTCCTGAGGGATCCCGGTTTGTGAGAGGGTGCAAGCTGGGCTGAGGGACCTACCCCATCCCCATGCATGAATTTTGTGCACCAGGCCGCTAGTAATTTATAAAACTGATTATACAAGAAAATATATTCATGCTAACCTTTTGAAAAACAGAGTGCATATTTAATGGCCAAGCATAAAATAATTTATAACCTCTAAACATATCATTGGTTTAAAATATTTTTAAATGTCTGTTGGTATCAGATTAGGGGGAAAATAGTGGTACAGCTGAAAAGCATACTGCTTTCAGAACACTTATCTTTCAGACCTTCTTAAAGGGCAATTTTCTTTTCAATGTATATATTTCATTTTCCTCTCCCCCTATTTATTCTACCTTTGAACTTACCTTTTGTCCAAAGCATGGCAAACTATAGCCCATCACTTTTTGTGTAAAGTTTTATTGTAACACACTCATGACTTTTACTTATATACTGGAAACCTAGTGCACAGATTCATGCACTGGTGCAGTCCCTACACCTGGCCTGCGGGGATCTAACCAAAACCAACTCTCTGACATCCCTGAAGGGTCCCAGATTACAAGAGGGTGGTTCTGGGGTAACGCACCAGGAATTGGGCTCCCTCCTCTCTGGTTCTGAGTGTGTCACCCAAGAACCACAGCTGCCAAGTCACCGCAGCTCAGCAGCTTCTGTGTTGAGCGTATGCCCGTTGGTGGTCAGTGCATGTCATAGCTACCGGTCAAATGGTTGCTTAGACTTTTATATATGTATATATAGTATATGGCTGCTTTCTAGCTATAAAAGCAGAATTGACAAGCTGCAATAAAAATTCTGTAGCCCAAAAAATGCCTGAAATATTTACCTGATCCTTTGAAAAAAGATTTGTGCCCCCTACTTTAGTCATTAGAAGTACTATAATTTAAAAGATTATAGGATTATGAAAAGACAGTAAGTAGTAATTTCATTAGTAGAGAACAATTTTTTAACATTTGCTTAAATCCTAAAGTATGAAATATAAACTGGTATTTTATAATATTGGGAACTAAAAATGTTATAATTAAATGGACTTAGATATAAGTGAGAAATCTAAAGAATGATCAGTGGGAAGTGTCACTTCTTATTAATTTTAAATTCAAGGCAGCTAACAAATGATTTTAAAATTAAGTATCATTAACACTTACCTTTTAGACAAGTAGCATTCAAACATTTTCACAGGACACCTAGAAGGATTGACTGTATTTTCAATTTGTTCAAATACTGGCTCATCATCTTCATGTTTTCTTTTTCCAGTAGTAATTTTATCTTAAAAAATAAAAATTAAATGAACTTCCTAAGCCCACTCTTGAAGAAAGATGGTACTACCTGCTCTATTCAATCCTAGTATCTGTTTTACCAAAGAATGGGCCTAGTTATCCTTCAGAGACCTAAGTGTGGCTTCTGGTAATTCATAATTTTTCAAACAAAATGAACTGAGATGTTTTAAGGAGACATGGTCTGTCTTATTTTTATGAAAAGGACAGTCCTAAGGTTCTTAACAAGTGGCCTAAGTAGTCTTTAGTAAGGCAAAGTTTGGCTATCTCTGTCACAGACAATCCCAAATAAAAATCTGTTATATACCTTCATTATCTGTTCCACATAAGGAAGACACTTGATATCGAAGACATGCTTTGTTTTCCATTGTTAAAGGATTTTTTTTCCAATGCCTAAACACAGTGCCAAAGGAAAGTCTTAAGTGTTGTTCCACCGTTTTCAGGCCAAAATACTTAGTGTTAAAGTAGAACAGGGTATTCAGAAGAGCTACTGGAGAATGTGAGCCTAGTTGTTTTATCCTCCAGAGATAATCTTCTTCAACTCGAGAAAATATTGACCCTTAAATAGAGAAAAATATTTTTTAAAAGTTATAATAAAGAAAATAGTTTTCATTTACCAGCTAGACAGAGTTAATTTAAGAACAAACCTATTGCCATTTTCCATTCACACCAGGTCAACTGGAATGAATTTCAGAATTTTCTATGCAGCTCATTAGCAATACGGAGGCTAGGAACACAAGAGACTGGAACTAGCACCTCTGCTGTAAGGAACTGGATGTTTACTTCTATTCTATAGGATAAGTAGACAATGGTCAGAAAGGAATTTAAATCTGTAAGAATTCCTGAGAAAAATAGATGATTCCATTCATAAACATTTTTACTTCACACAAATAAAACAGAGGTTTATTTACATCATACTCTCCACTTGGGCTTAAGAAGTAAATATTCAGTTTCTTACTCAAGAGAAAGAAGGCCACATTCATTACAAAGCTCTTAATAAGCACTAGTTATCAACAACATTCATTTCTAATTCCTCAAAAGATGAACCATTGAGTTCACAAATATATACTCTAAAAAATGCTAATTTAAATTATTTCCTTATTATATTTAACTAGAGGCCCAGCACATGAAATTGCACATGGTAGCCAGCCACTGATCGCAGCCCCGCCCACCAGTGTGCACCATGTTCACCACCCCACCCGCCTGCTGCCCGCCTTGCTGCAATTGGAGCCTGTGGGCCATGGTCGTTTGGTCTTCCTGGACACTGGCTTTTTATATAGATAGATAGATGAACATTCTGTAAAATTAAAAATCCCAGTAGCAATTAGCAACAGCTTTATTTCAAAAGAGCATTACCATCTGGAAGTATGCTTGGTTGCCAACTTCGGAGGATTTTATTCAATTCTTGCTCAAATGTCTGGTATCCTGGATCAATAAATATGTTGTCTTTTCGATTACTACCACACAAGTACTAAAGAAAGAAAAAAAAATCTTGAAGGAAAACCAGCTAATTATAAGATACAGAGAAGCATCGAACAGACTGTCAAATTACAGTGGGAAGGCTAGGGGAGGGAAGGGAGATAAAAGATCAACCAAAGGACTTGTATGCATTCATATAAGCATAATCAATGGACACAAGACACTAGTGGGTGAGGGCATGTTGGGAGTGGTGTGGGGGGGGGGCACTGGGGGAATATGGACACATATAACTCCTTAATAAAAATAATTGGGGACAAAACAAATTTAAGAGGCATAAATAATAAACCAACAGTAGAGACAAAATGGAATATAAAAATAACTAATGCAAAAAAAAGCAGAAAAACACACAAAATAAAGAATAGACCTAACAAATACAAAACAATCAGCAGGATGATAGATTTTAATCCAATGATATTGGTAATTACAATAAAACCTTAATATAACAGACCAACCCAGGCAACAGTAGCCACATTTAAAACAAAACAGGTATAATTAAATATTTTAACCCAATATATCTAAAACATGTAATTTCAACAAATAACATAAAAATTAATAAGATATTTCACATTTTTAAAAACTTGAATTCTTTAGAAATCTGTATTTTACACTCAGAGCACTTCTTGTTTTCAAACTAGCTATACTTCCCCATCTTGTTATGGACTAATATTAGTAGGTATCTATCTACTTAAGCAGAAATTCTGGTACTAGTATTTGAAAAGTAGAATTAAAGTCCCATACAACATAATTAATAGGCAATTGAAAAGCATGTATTTTAGAGAATATGTTCAGAATATTAACATGCTTGTTTAAACATGTATTTGTCAGTAATGCGGGAAATAAATACTGTCAAAGAATGTTTTGAAAAGCTAGTTAAGCAAGAAATCTATTACATATAACAATATGCATAATAATTTATAAATGTTGAGACTGTAAGACACTCATATAGTAATTTGAGGAATATTAGATAAGAGATTCTACATCAATGATGAAAGACTAAAATTGGCAGTCTTATTAAATGCTATTTGTAAAAAGTTTCATTTGCTGAAACCAATTTGGCTCAGTGGATAGAGTGTCAGCCTGTGGACTGAAAGGTCCCAGGTTCAATTCCAGTCAAGGGCATGTACCTTAATTGCAGGCACATCCCCAGTAGGGCTTGTGCAAGAGGCAGCTGATCGATGATTCTCTCTCATCGATGTTTCTAACTCTCTGTCCCTCTCAGTTCTTCTCTGTGTAAAATCAATAAAATATATTTTAAAAAAATAAATAAAAAATAAAATAAAATAAAATAAAAAGAAAAGTCCGCAACAACTTTCAATATTTTCCATTTGGCATATACAATCTAATTACTATAATTATGTGGCACACCGAAAAGAACATTTTTTGCCAATCTGACAAAAAAAATAGGTATAATTTTTGCTTCAAAGTGACTTTTTGAAATATCAAGTGCCTATAGTTGTGTGTAAGGAATTCTGGTACCAAAAATAAATCAATCAGGAATAATCTTATTATGTGATGTGACCAATATGATGCAATTCTATTACATGACCTACAATATATATTTATGGATAAAGACAGACCACTTACACCAAATGGCTATTATTGTATTGGCTGTTGTTTTTTTTCATTTGATAATATTAGGGAAACTAAGTCAGTGCCCCTGACTAAATAATCAGATATTACATGTTTTAAAAATTCTTGTGACACACCAATTGAAAATCACTGAACAATTGAAAATCACTGAACAAAAGAATAGATCAAAACTTCCTTGATCAAATGCCACAAAGCTATTAAAAAAAAAAAAAAAAAAAAAAAACCAAAAAAAAAAAAAAAAAAAAAAACCTCAGGAAGCATCCTACTTAAAAACCAAAAAAGGAAAGCAAGGAAGGAGAAAAACCTTCCCCAAAGGATTACATGCAAAGCAAATGTTTTTACTCTCACCACTCATCTTTTTGTGGAACCAAAACAACAAATGTAATATGGCAAGAAAAAGAAGTACAAGACATGCAGATTGGGACGAAAGAAGTAAACTGTCTTTATTCATACATGACATGATTTTTTATGTAGAAAATAGTATGAGGGGGAAGAAACACTTTACCTACTGAAACTAATAGTGAATTGGCACATATATGGTGTAAGATGAATATATAAAAATCGATTGTATTCCTATATGCAAATTTATCAGAAGAAATAACTAACAGAGCAATAATTATTTGACTAGTGAGAAGAACTAAATAGACTACAGATAGGTAGGGTAGAAACCCATTGTGCTGTCTTTGTTTTATTACTGTTTGATTTAAAGTTATATAATGTAGATATTAGTTTTTAAGTTTAATTACAAGTAGTAGCAATTTTAAAGAGAATTTTATAAAAACATATCATAAACTAGAGTTGAATTAAAACGAGAAGAAAAAGAGGTTGGAACTCAATCTTTCTCCTTCCAAGTTAACATGCAGAACTCTATTGCTCTTTCAACACTTCTAAAGTTGGTTAACTAGGCCAGCGTTTTTCAACCGCTGTTCCGAGATGTTGCCTGGTGTGCCGTAGGAGCAGACAAGACAAGAATTTTATAATTTTTCACTATTTTGTTTACTTAATATTTCATAATAAAGTAATTATAAAATACTTTCTTTGTTTATTTGATTCCTATTCAAGAGAATTACTTTATATATAGTCAATATAGGCACAGAGTTAAATTTTTTAACATTTTCTAATGGTGGTGTGCCTCGTGATTTTTTTCATGAAACAAGTGTGCCTTTGCCCAAAAAAGGTTGAATAACACTGAACTAGGCTGTCAAGAGGGTGCATATGTAATCTCTGTCCTCTTATCCTACCACAATCACATCAAAACTACAACAAAGCAACCACTGTGAGATCTATAGGAGGGGCAGAGACTCTAAAGAGGCTGGTCCCACAGCCATATGTGTCAATTTAAAATGAGAAGAGAGAGAAACCAAGATGGCGGAATAGGTAAACACCTATATTGCTTCCTAGCACCACAATTTCAAAACTGCAACTGGAAGACAGAGCAGACATCATCCAGAACCACCTGAAAGCTGGCTGAGTAGGAAATCTACAACTAGAAGGAAAGATAAAAGGACACTGAGACTCAAAGGAGCTGTGGAGGACAGAGGTGCAGAGACCCATGCTCACAATGGATGGGCAGTTGAATACTCGCCTAGCTTACTCGCAGCATACGGAGAGGGCAGACAGCAAGCGTGTGGCTAGCTGCTCATTCGGGAGGGAAACAAAACCTCCTGACTGCACTGAAATCTAGTTCCGGATGAAACTTTGGGTACCCAGACTCATTTGAGGAGAAACAGGACTGTCTGGCAGCAGGTGAAACTCAAGGGCAGCCTTCTCTCAGAGGTGCGTGCAGCCACTGCGGTGGTACACTGAGACAAAGAGGCCTTGTAGGGTGGGGCTGACTGGAAACCAAGGCTGTCTGCTCCACCCTGAGACTCTGCCCCATCCAAGCTCAGCACAGAAACTCTCCCAGCGGAGACAGCTGATCCTCACATCCAATTGACCTGGAGGTCAACTCCCCCCAACGATACTAACAACAATCTAGACTTAACTACAACAAAACTGCACACACAGCCCACAAAGGTGGGCAAACCAAGAGTGTCCACCTCAGATAACTGGGGAGGCTGAGCCACTGGGTCCTGCTAGGACACCTACCACACAAATCCACTCCATCAACTCAGGGAAGCAGCCAAACTAGGGAGACAAAGAGGCAGGTCACAAATGAAGAAAATGGAGGAAAGTAAATGATTGGATATAGAGTTCAAAATCACGGTTATAAGGTTTTGCAAGAATTTTCTAGAAAAGGCCGATAAATTTAGCGAGATCCTTGAAGATATGAAGAAGGACCAACTAGAAACTAAGCATACACTGACTGAAATAAAAATATTATACAGAGATCTTACAGCAGACTAGAGGATCCCAAAAATCAAGTCAAAGATTTAAAATACATAGAAGAAGAAAAAAAAACGAAAAAAAAACACTCAACCGGAAAAGTAAAAAGAAAAAAGAATCCAAAAATATTAAGTTAGTTTAAGGAGTCTCTGAGACAACTTCAAGCATACCAATATCAGAATTATGAGGGTGCCAGAAGAAGAAAGAAAACAAGATACTGAGAACCTATTTGAAGAAGTGATGACCAAAATCTTCCCCTATCTGGTGAAAGAAATAGACTTACAAGTCCAGGAAGGACACAGAACCCCAAACAAAAGGAATCCAAAGAGGACCACACCAAGACACATCATAATTAAAATGCCAAGGGCAAAAGACCAAGAGAGAATATTAAAAGCAGCAAGAGAAAAGCAGTTAGTTACCTACAAGGGAACACCATATGACCATCAGCTGATTTCTCAAAAGAAACTATGCAGGCCAGATGGGAATGGCAAGAAATATTTAAAGTGATGAATAGCAAGAAACTGAAACCAAGAAACTGCAGCAAAGCTATCATTCAGAATTGAAGGTCAGATAAAGAGCTTCACAGATAAGAAAAAGCTAAATGAGTTCATCACCAACAAACCAGAATTATATGAAATGCTGAAAGGTATTCTTTAAGAAGAGGAAGACAAAAAAGATAAAGATAAAAATTATGAACAAAAAATATGTAACTATCAACAAGTGAATCTAAAAACCAAGGGAATAAAAAATCTAATGAACAGAATAAACTGGTGAATATAATAGAATCAGAGGCATAGAAGGGGAGTGGACTGACAATTCTTGTGGGAAAAAAAGGAGTAGGGTGCAGGAAAAGACTGGACAAAAAGCGTACAACTATGGATGAGGACAGTGGTGGGGAGGTAAGGGCAAAGGGTTGGATAGGAACCTGGTGGAGGGGAGCTATGGGGAGAAAAAGGAGGAACAATTGTAATAATCTGAATAAAGATTTATTAAATTGTTAAAAATCAGAAAAAAATAAATAAAATTAGAAAAGATATCCCAGCTGCAGATGACCCCCTGAAGAGCAAGAAGCCTCAG